GATTTGGGATGATCTGCCACTCTCTGAAAGCCTGAACAAGTTTCTGGCAGTTATCGAAAATGAGATTGCTATAACCCAGACAGATGACAATATTAGGAAACATCATGTAGATAATGACATTGATAAGTTCCATGCAGACCAGAGCAGGTTATCTGAGACTTCCCAGAGAATTACTGGAGACCTGCATACACCACCTGTAGCTTTAAGATCATCACAAGCAACAGTCAAAGCAAACTCTAGCAAAAATAACTTCCTTTCTGACTATGAAGCAAATCCAAATTCTAGTGTTCAAAAGGAGCCACAACCAGATAACACAGCAGATACTGTCTCTATATGTAGTAATGGAAGAGATGTTTCCGAATATTTTCTACCAAACGCTTATCTGTCAACTCTGTTTCCATCTTCAAAAAATTTAGAAACAACAGTTACTCTTAAGTCTACCAGAACCCCATCACATAGGGATAAAATTTCTCTTAGGCCCAGTACTTCAGCAAGTGATTATTGTCTCAATATCAAACATTTTAATAGATGTGGAGAAAAATCCCTTTCAGAAATGAGTGAAAAATTGACAACTTTGAGTTATAGGAAGTATAATGATGTTTCTGATATTCGCACATTAGAAAATAAGCAATATTACAACTTAAAAAACAAACAATATTATAGGTATCCAAAGAACCAAGGTGAAAGTTTTACAATTTGCAGGAAACTTATGTATCCATTAGAAACTCTTCACAGTAGTCCAAATATAAGTACAAATACATTAAAAGAAGTGCCTTGTGGACTTATCAATAATAACTTAACACAGAGCAATTCTACTGGTCATGAAGGTAGCTATGATGCTTCTGCTGATCTCTTTGGTGATATTGATAAAGAAATGGACATTACAACAGAAATTATAGAAAAATCACAGTATATTTTGTCTTTGGCAGAAAGTCATCCTGCAGAATCTGATTTTTCACTGAGATCACCTGAAAAGTCCAGCCAGCCTTCACAAAAATTATCTTTGCAAAGCATATCTGTCTCTAGGTTTCCAAGAATATGCTCTCCTCCACCTCATTTTCAGTCAGATTCAGAACATGATTTTGAAGATAGCCAAGACTTTGTTCCATGTTCACAGTCAACTCCAGTTGCAGGATTCCACCAAACAAGAATTCATGGGATGAACAGAGCTTTCAAAAAACTATCTGCCTTTTATTCAGATTTTGATGCTAACTGTAAAAAAAAAAAGATTTCTCCTGAATATGACAAGCGAGCCACCCCAAATTGTCCAAAAACTATAAAAACACCCATCCAGAGATCCAGAAGCCCTGTTATAGTTGATATTGCACAACCAGAGGCTTTAAACCACTGTCCTATTGCTGAGTGCCTTGAAACTGATGTTGATGAATTGGTCCCTCCTACCACAAAAAAAGTATTTCTTTCAGATATGCCTGGATTCCAAGTCACGGGTCTTAGGAAATGCCTTGCTGCCCATAATTCTCCTAATGAAAAAGAATTACCAAGAAAGAAACTGAAACATGTCAGACAAAGAACTGATAAATGTGTAACTAATGAGTTAAATTTAAACAATATGCTTACAGCAAGAGTTACAAAACAGAAAACTCCTAAATATAACTGTAAAAGTTCAGGCTGGATTGCCAAAGAGTCAATTCTTGGACTTGATTCTTGTTCAGATGTCAAATGTTGCCTTCCGTTTTCAGAAAATTGCCCAGCATCAGTGTCTGAAGCTAAAACTGCATGGTCACCTGAGTTGTTTTCATAAAAAGCCACCCAAACCCAATTCCTGAACTTTTAAATAAAGGTAAATTTCTTTGGAAACTTTTGCCTCTGGTGTCATGGAAAGCATTCTTCGCATTTTGAACACTTGAAGAGAAGCAAAGAGAAAAATAAAAAGTAAAAAATAGCACTGGGTGCTATTATACATTTTAAAATGTTGTAAAGCGATTGTTTTCCACAGTGTTTTACCCGGAACACTATGATTCAGATAAATGGGCACTTTATGTTATATTGTTTATTGTACTTTAGTAATATTGTTAATTTTGCTTTTTAAAGGTATTTGTTAAAATCACATGTACATCCAAAAATAAATCCTTTGCAAACCAAAACATAAAGTCTGTCTTAATTGTTCAGCTTAGACCAGAAAATGCCTGCTATGTAGTAGGTCAACTACTGTGCTGAGTTTGTGATACAAAGCTATAGGATCACTGACCTCAAAAGATTTTTGTCTGCTGGGTAGGATAGACATATAAACAGACAATTTCAATACAATGAAGAAAATGCAATGATAAGATTTGTAACGGATATTACAAATATTTATGTTGCTATGGGAGCATGGAAGAAAAGCTAACCCAGCAGTGGACTGGGGGTAAGAAAAAAGATCAATAAAAACTACTAATTAGAAGTTATATATGAAACTGTCTCTACATTATTTAATAAGTATTCACTGAATGCTTACTACATGCCAGGAACCATGCTTGGTGTTGGAAACTCAAAGATGAAAGTCAGGCCTCTTCCCTCAATCTCATGACAGTTAGAATCTGGTAAGTTCTGTGGTAGGAGATGAGCTTGGAATGCTAATAGCAAAAATGAGGAGCAATTTCCCAACATTCAAGTCATAGCAGTACCTCCACTGCACCCTGTGAAAGTTTTCACACATCACTCGTCAGCTTCCTTCGCAATTCCCCACAGCAACTATTTCAACTCTTTACTGTCTTCATTCCACCAACCTACCACTATTCTCCTTGTCTCCTACTTCATGAGGAATATTAAGATCTCCCTCAAGTTTTGCACCCTACATACCCTCTTTTCTACATCTGTACTCACAGCTTCTTTCTTCTGGTCTTGGAAGATGATGCACACCTTTGTGCTAATCTATTTGGGTAGTTGATTCATTACACCCATCTTTGAGATCTTGTACCTGTATTTTTACCTTCTTGCTCTACTGGGTCTCTCCCCTTCCCCAACTTCTTATTTGAAAATTTACAAAGAGAAAAGTTGAAAGAATAGTACAATGATATAGCATCTATACATACCACGTAGATTCATTCATTTTTAACACTTTGCCTTTTGTGTATGTGTATATTTGCTTCGTGTGTTTATATATATATTTGTTTGTTTTGCTGAGCCATTTATAGGTAAGCTGCAGATAGGACGTTTCACCCGTAAATACTTCAACATGAATTTCCTTAAAAGAAGAGCATCTTTCCACATAGCCACAATATTATCACACCAAAGAGAAAGAACAGTAATTCTCCAGTATCATCTAATGTTCAG